TCCTATATTTATACTAATTAAGATAGTATCCTACTCAAACTCTAAATCTAAAAGATAAACTCAGTAAAATAGAAACCTTATCAAACTCTAAAACAATCAAACAAAACTTAAATATATAATTTTCCTAAAATGCCCCTGCACTCATAAATCCGATTAATCCAACAATCACCCCTTAATCGGATTGGTCATACCGCTCGCTCACTACAACGTTTAATCACCTTTTCGAACCATCTCGATTATCGACCTTTCCCGGACACCCTACCACCACCACGGTCACATCCAAAGTCTTCTCTCATTCTCTTTGATTGTTGACAACACATGTAACATATACCATGATATCCCGTTGGACACGTTCATCACTATCTAGACTTTTCCCGGATTCATGACCTCTCCCCGGCCAGATCCAAAGCCATCCGATTTGAACTTCCACCGTCATAATGTTCACACCGTGTTGTTTTTCCAATCTCTTACTTTGTTCCGATTACCGTTCTTCAAAGAGGCAACTCCACCGACGAAGAAAACAAAGCCACCCGCTTCACCGTTTTCTTTCAATCATGTCAAACGAACTGAATCCAAAGCCACCTGCTTTGACGGATCCTTCATGCCCGCTTTTCACGCACCTACGTCGGTATCCCCTTATCACGAACAAACCGATCAAGAACTTATTCTCTTTTTTGACAACCCTGACCTAATCAAACTTGTTCCCAGAGCACTTTTCCACCGAACAACAAGACAAGGCCACGACCACCTTTACCGTCTTCCGTCACCCGCAACTGAATCAAAGTCACCCACTTTGACGTCTTCCCGTCCGTTTATTCCGCGCCTCCGGTTAGTCTCTCCCTACCTTAGAACAAGCCCGATCAAGAAAAATCGGGGTTGCTGTTGAGATGCTTCAACTAGCGCTCAAAAACAATCCACACCCTTTTAAATCGAACTCGGTTACCGCTGCGTCCGCCCCGCAGCAAAGGGCTACACTCTTCTTGAAACCGACTCTCAAACCGGCCGCCCTACATCTTCACGAGCCTTAGGCTCTGATACCAAGTGTAATACCAAGGGTAATCAAACAACGAAAGTTACTTGTTGTCAAAGCTTTATTAATAAGCTAAACTAA